TACAGCCTGGTGCAGCAGGTTCAGGGGTAGGGGTTGGGGGTTTTCTCAACAAGGATTGCTCCCCATCAGTTACTCTCTAGAAAAGGACAAAAGTATCCATGAACTTACTCCAGGTATTGGCTGCTCAGCCTCTAACACAGAGTTCAGTTGGTCAAATGGCCAGACTGGGTTTTCCATTCTTGGGCAAAAACAAAGACTTCATAAAAGCCTTTCAATTAGCTCTTGAAGATGAGAATGTTAGTGCAGATCCTATTCTGTGCTAAGCCTGCAAGGTCAGACAGGTGTGAGTGGGTCGCCCTCAATTTACACACACTTTTGGTACACTTAGGGGAGACATGTTAGATGCACTTTAGGCCTTGGGTTCCCTATATCCCCTAATAATCCAGTGTGTATGGTCCTCAACCTCCTCCATCACATCTTCTTTCATGCCTCCCTCACTCAAGACCTGAAGTATTTTCTAGTCTCTTCAGGGCCCCTCTGTAATCCATTCCTAGACTGCATCTTTCTGGTGTCCTTTCTTCCCCCTCTACTCTTAAGTGTTTATTTTACATTTTGAAGAGGAGCACGCCCTGAGAACTGAGCTGCTTGACTGGTTCCTTGTAATCTCCATTACAGTTACTTAACCATGACATGTACAGTCTATTTTTACTTATACTTGTCATGTGGCCGGGAACATTTCTGTAAAGAGCAGTTGATAGGCTGGTTTTGAGACACTACCTGACCTAACCACACACACTGCCCAGTCACTAACCCATTTCCTAAAAGAATGAGGTGTATCTATATTCCACCAAGATGCTGTCTTCTTGGGAGCCTGCTTGTTTTTCCCAGGAGCAGGCACAAAACAAAAGCAGGGCAGGGGGGGGAGGAAATAACCCAAGCATTTACACCCAGCTGATCACTTTAGTGTCCTTCTAGACTCACTTCATCTAGGTAAGTCCTGAGTTCAACTCTGAAAATGCCCAAGGAAAATGGAGACAGTTTTTCCTACTGTGAAGAATCTGTCTAAGCTTTCTCTCAGAACCCTTGGAGTGTACACTTCTCAGTTCCTTACTCAGCTTGATTGTGATAGGCTCTGGGGTTTCTATTTTAAATAAACAGTGCTCCCTCCCAGAACCTCTTCTCAACTTCAGTGCTTCTAAGGAAACAAATACTGATCAGAAGGTCTTGTAGAGAAAGTGGCTGAATGAGCTTTTCATGGCCTGGAACTGATTTCTGGAAATTTATTTTATGCTCTTTTAAGGTAATTAAATGTAATAGGACATTCCTTATTAAAGCCAAAAAATTGAATTAGATGGCTAATAAACTCATTTTCTTTGTAAGATTGCCTCTTTTTCCTTCCAAGGGCCTCATGTCTATGCACATACTTTTAATAAGTTCTATGATAAAGGGATGATTATAGAGCCCCTTGTCACTGTAACTTTCTGGTGACAATGCTGTCTTCCCTGGTAGATGATTATGGAGTCCAAGGATGCAAGTTTTTAAGGGGGAATGAGTTGCCAGGCTTCTTTGTCAAAGTGCTTTTCTTGCTAGGGCATTAGTGATTCTTATGTGTTCAAACAGTAGGCTAATAACTGGACAGAAAGTTTTTAATTGAGCCATAGTTCTTCTACACCATTGACTTACGAGCAAGGGGTCAAAAAATGAAGTTATTTTCTTCAAAATACCCACATTCACAAGTCAAAGGTTGTGTCTGGTGAGAACCTTCTCTCGAGAAAGATTGGACATTTAATAAATATTTTTCATTGTGGGGAGGTTTGCTTGACAAATCCTCTAAGTATCTCAGGAACTTGTGAGACTTGGAAGGATCATTGCTGTCTTCCATGGGAAGAACGTGCACTCTGCTTGTTTGTGTGGGAAGGTTTATTTCACCCCAGACTCTTTCAGGCTTCATGTTCAGCCTTTGGGAAGAGCTGATCGTTTTACCTAATTTAATTCACAAAGCAATCTAGCTCATTCACTCTTCCTCTAGTAATAAAAATGGAACCAAGTTTTCTTATTTTGTGTGGACACAAAAAAAGCCAGACTCAAAACTGGTTGTTTTGCTTTAAATTAAAAAATACAGATTATTTGGATATGCAGTATGTAAGTCAGCAAGTTGAGATGAAATGTTCTGAATTGATTGGGGAGTACTTTTTTGCATGAAAACTCTACAAAGGAACTTAAACTACTGTATATCTAAGTCATGCTTTGCTTCACAATGGTACTGCATTCTGTGTTTGTACTTACACAAACTAGGGGGATACAAAAGCATTAGACCATATAATCTTAAGGAACCATTGTTGTGTAAGCAGTCTGTTGTTGACTGAAATATTGTTAATGTGGCACATGGAAGTATTTTATTTTTGAAATTACAAATCTTTGTTGGACACCTTTGTCAGACTGTAGCCTTGGGATAGGGTGAAGACAATGTGTCTGAGGACAGGAAAAAATGGTTGAGAACAGAAAAGCTGTTTTCATTTTGTAATTCTCTTTTTAGATGACTTGTTTTCTGCTACTGCTAAACACTGCAGTGAGAGAACAGAATGCAATGCTGCTTTACTGTTAGTGAAGGTATATGATGGGCCAGTGTGGGTTTCTGGCTGCCATATGTGTACACAACATCTCTGCTCCTTAGTAGCACACATTTTTTTATCTTAAACATTGTTCAGATAGCTGTATGGTAGAGATTTCAGTCTCGGGGCCTCCCAAAGTTGTATATTATTTGATGAAATTGTTCCATTTGAGAAAAATCTTTAAGAGATGCTGGATGTCCTAGTCACCAAGAAAGAATGCCAAGAGAAACATAAGTACTGAACCTCTACTAAGCCAAGTGAGGGATCAGGCTGCTAATGGTATGGCAACAGCTGGCTCATAGTTACCATTTTTCCCACCATCAATGAGAGGTTAAATAGTTTCCATAATATGGAATGTGGACAAAGTTCCTACCCTAATACAGACTTAAATATGCAGTTGTTTGTCTCAGGCTATTTGTGGTGAATAAGCAGAGTATTTAAAAATGCTCAGGCAGTCCTGGAAAAATTGCAGGGCTTTAAAGTTGTTGACAAAATATTTCTTAAATAAATAAATCTGATTTAGAAATATCTAAACAAGGACAAAGTACTTTTTAATCTGAAGTAAAGTGCATGTGGATATGCCTTTTATGAATGGTTTCTTAAAAGCAACTCTAACATGACTGAAGGATTTATAGCTTTCAGTTATTACAGTTCTTTTAAAAAATTTCTAAAAGCATTTTAGAAAGGCTAGCTTTTGAGGGGCTTACTTTATTATATTAGATTTCAACAGAGCTATGCTTATGATAGAAAAAAAAAATCTTAGTTCTAAACCAGAAAACTAAACTTCCTTGGCTTCAAAAAAACATTTCTGAAATGTACCATAAGAGCTTCAGCTGACCTCTGCAGAGATGGATGTACTGGGTGATTTCTCTAGCAATGGGAACTTAATAAATCTGGGTGTGATCTGCCTCTGGCCTGCTGCTAAGTACACCAAGGTCCCTATGTCCTAGGGTTGGGAGTTCACTTTATCCCTCAAGAAGAGGGTGTTTATTATTCTACAAAGCTTATAAATAAGTGGTGTTTTAATAATACCTAGAGGAAAATTCTTAAAAGAGATGAGTCTTCTTGTGGTCTAAAATTCTTAGGTTAAAAAAAAGGGAACAGTATGTATTTTAATTTCAGTTTTCTTAACTACTGGCAACAGAGAAACTCATAATTTATGTTTTAGAAAGTCAAACTGCAGCTGCTGTGAGTGCTTGCCCTTGGCACTTTTGATGAGACTAGTATTCAGAGAAGCACCATTCTGCTCCAGGTCTTAGACATCTTAAGGAATCCTAGCTCTTTAATAATATGTTCTAGTTGTCCTGAAGAAAGCTGTGACCAGCAGTGAAAATCTTATTCCACTTGTGTGATTTTTTTAACCTCTCAAACTCTATACCCAGAGTCATCTGACTGCTAGAGAATCATCTGGCTAATAAATTCTTAATATAGACACAATACAAAAAGGATAGGTACAAAAGCAAAGTTATGTTGGTCTTTGCTCTATGAGAGCAAAAACCATTTTACAGGTAGCTCTGTAATTGTAATAAGCCACTTAAGAGATTATTTGTGTTTAAGAAAACTTAAGACTGTCAAATTGGGGTGACCATAAATATTCTCTGAAAATTTTAAACAGGGATGGCATCTGTTACTTACAATAGCATTTCTAACCTGGTTCTTCTGAGGCAGCATGTGTTCCCCATGAATACCAGCCAGAATGTATGCTTTGTGGCATGACTTAAGTTAAAGCCACATATATTGAAAGTCATGAGACAGTGTCCTCGGTTAAGTTACTGGGCTGTGTTCCCTATTATTTTGAAGTCTCACCTCACAATCCTATACTAAAAAACTATGTGTAAAAATTCTAAGGCCTATAATATAATACAGGTAATGTTACACCATATAAATTCTTGACTATTTTTTTTTCACCAAAAGAGATCTGGATCTGTTTGGCATTTCTGAAAATGTGTATTTCCTTAAAAGAAGAGGATGTCGAATTGTCACTAAGCCAAAGCAAACCTACTTGAAGACCAACAGCCATTAGTTGTACTACACAAGGGGTCAAAGTCAGTATTAGAAATATTACACTTTATTGAATTCTAGAGCAGCTAGTCTATCCTCCCCTATTGATCAGTGACATAAGAATGGAAGAAAATATATGAAGATTAAAGTATACCACTGTTTAAAATGTTGGAATAACTTCTATACTGGTAAGGCAGTTATAATGCCTTAATGTATACAGTAATGGTTCATTCTTGTTCAAAGCAAGAAGCAAGTTTACCTTGGGATTCACAAGTAAAGTTATTCTCACTGATTGTGTCTTTTGCTTTAGTATGGTTTTGGCTTACAAAGCCCTTCTTTTATTCTCATGTTCAACTTTAAAACAGCAATCAACCCTAAAGGACAAAGCAATGTAAAATTGTAGAGCAAGAACCACAATTGTAGTCCACACTAATGAATCAGACTTGAGGAGAAGGCTGTTTTTTTTTTTTTTTCCCCTTCTGGGGGCTTGCTCCTTTGTCCTCTTTCAGCTAAATTCCTTTATAGATGTATCGCAGATTAGAAAAAGGGTGCATTTGTGCTATTAACTTAAAAAATGTAGAAAGGATAAGGACTTTCACCTCAAAATACATTCCCTGCAGTCCCTTCCAGACCAACCCCAAAGCAGAACATTTCTGCAAAGGCAATGTCAGAGCGGCAGCCTTGCCAGGGTCAGTGAAGATACTCAAAGGCTTATGAAAGGAAACTTGACCTCGACAGAAAACTACACTTGATGATGAAAACAATATATTTCTCCAACTGACATACAATACTGTGTAAAGTTGGATTTTGGAGTAACAGCACAATTTGTAGCAACATTTTTGTATCACCTCTTCCTACTGTTCTCCTTGTTCCACTCTGAAACCCTTCACCACCCTTAGTGTATCCAGATACACTATGACATATTGTGATGAAAAAAAGACAAGAAAAACTGTCACAAGCCACAATGGAGCCATCTGCATGCAGTTCAGCCTGACTTTACCCTTTCTTTCAATACAGACTCCATTACAATTTCAAACCATCTGCAAAGAATACAGATACACAAAACTAAAACAAGTATCACCCTATGATTAGAATATTTTTAAGTCTTCAGAAACTTTCTGGACATACCTTTGATGGAGCCCCCCAACCCCTCTCCAGTAGAACCCAAACAAGGACATTCTTTGCTCCTGTGAGTCCTGCCAGAACTTGTTTAAGGGGCATCCAAGGTTTTGGTTTTCCTCCTTATTCTTCCTCCTCCTCCTCTTCATCATCATCCTCATCATGGCAGTGTGTAATTTCCTGGGGAGCCAGCGGGAAGAGGTTGGGGGGTTTAATCTCACTAATTGACCTTGTCAACTGGTGCCGCTTATAGTCAGTGTCTTTGAAATCCACTGATGTGCGGTTTCGGGTGGCAAGAGGGGACTCCATCTCATTGATATCTACATGTGTGTGCTCCACCGTTGATTCATGAGGCATCTAGAACAAAGCCAGAGGCTCAGATTGCAGGCAGAACAAAACAGGTGCTTCCCAAATCCTAATCCCTCTTCCTTCTCAGCTGGCCATGCAGAGTTATAATGACCAGAGATAAGTTATTTGGATATAGCTTAACAGAACTACCTAAAATCTGGTCTGTGCCTGGATCATTTACTACAGACTGAAACTGGATAAAATAGGAGAAATTCTTATTTTCTATTTCACAGCCAAAAACCAGTCCTGAAACAGATCAGTATTAGAATCTCTTTCAATTAGTACTAAGGAAAGAAGAAACTCTTCACCATTCAATGTAACCTCAGGGAGTAGTTACAGTCTGAAGTATCTATTTTGGTCCTATTTTCTTGTGCAACCACATAACCTGTCCATAGGTTTTGCACATAAGTATGTTCAAGTTGGCTTCCATGCCATTCCACAAAACTGGCTTCAGAACTTGAACTAAAGTGTATTTTAACTGTCAAAAGTAACTACTCACCAGGACATGGGCAGCCCTGAAGAGGTAGCTGAATGGGTAATATAGCAGGTTGATGAAAGATGCTGCATAGAGATCAGCATAACGCATCACTTGGCTGGCAAAGAGTGTCTGCCGGGAGCCACTGCGAAAGAGGCTTCCCATCATCCCATAGCACATGTCCATATCATGAGTTACTTTCTAAAAAAAGAAAAAGAAAAAGCTTCTCAGTGGATTCAACATATATTTATTGGGTACCAGCTGTATGCCAGTCCTTTTATAAAATCAGAAATGAGAATCATTTTCCAAGTTTTCTCCCAAATCCTACTTTTTGGATACCTTAATTCGTCTCTGAATGGAGCTAATGTCTGGGCGCTCATTGCTACTGCTGTCAAGGTGCCTGGAGACAAGACAAAAACCCAGTGAAAATCTCCAGAAAGAACATATCTTACAACTAAGTGATTCCTAAAGAGGTCAATGGGTTTTTAGGGAAGAAAACTTACTTGTAGAGTTCAGCCAAGAAAATATCCAAGCTCTGAAGTTCTTCAAAAAGTGCTAGTTAAGATTTGGGAAGGAAAGGAAAATGTTTTACATAAATCAAATAAAAGCACCCAGTTTTTAACTAGTGCTAAAAGTAAAGTAAAATGTTATAGATACAACCAAAAATATAGCCTGGAACTAATTTGCATAGGCAAGTGTATAAATTACTCTTTTTTCTTCAGGAGAACCCACTGATACCCTGCTTCAAACTTGGCAGCAGATGAATATACAATTTCCTTTTTAACTGCCTTTCCTCTTACTTAAACACCACTGACCACAACTTTCCCTTCTAGCTACATGCTTATTCTGAGCTTACAATGTGCCAATTCCTATTCTGCCTCTGGAGAGGCACTTGCATCCAGCAAAGCAAGTGTTGAGTCTCTTAGAGGAAGACTGAGAATTAGATGACTTCTCCAGAGTCACAAAACCAAGAAATAGTAGAGTCAAGTCAACTTTATGAAGTAGGTACTATTATTGCTCCTATTTTTGTATTTTAGGAAACTAAGGTCTAAGTGCATACATTATTTTAAGCGGAAGAGCCAGGATTTCCATTAGAGGCAAGCCAAGTTTCTAGAGTCAGTAACTTTGATCACATTGGACAATGCTCACTAGGACTTGATGATGAACTCCTGTATACAACTATATCCACACCTCACCTGAATAACAGTGTATGTACTCCATATACCCAGTGTGTGTGGCTCAGTTTGAAAATATGATTTGGCCTCATTTTCAGAAGAGTAAATAAATACCAGGAGATAGTTAATATTCAGCACCATTACTGCCCCAGAATCACAGATATGGGCTATTAGCAGAGACACTGGGACTACGACATGTGGTTAGAGAAATATGAACTGTAGAGCAAAGTTCCAGTTCACAGGTTAGTTGTTATTGTACTACAACTTAGGACACCAACATTCTATACTTAACCGCAAAGGGATTTAAGAATTTGACAAGATAACTTTATATAGTTCCACTCAAATTTGGAGTTCTATGAAATAATTAAAGATTCCATTGAAATTTGGGAGGAGATACCCAAATTTCAGAGACTACCTTTTAACCACACTTCATCATTTGTAAGAGAAACCATTCAAAGTAATGGTTTATCAGCTGGGCACCAGTGGCTCACTCCTATAATCGTAACTTTGGGAGGCTGAGATTGAGAATACTGCAGTTTGAGACCAGGCCAGGCCAGGCAAATAGTTCACAAGAACCCATCTTCAAAATAACCAGAGCAAAATGGACTAGATGTGGGGCTCAAGTGGTAGACCGCCTGCTTTGCAAGCATGAGGCCCTGAGTTCAAACCCCAGTCCCGCTTAAAAAAAAAAAAAGTAATGATTTATCAAAGAGGGTTAATTCAAAGCTGGCCATTTAGGTATGTCAGAGGTTTATAAAATAAGAGTAATAGCTCCTTACAACTCTTGTCAGTCCAGACATGCAGCTCCTGTGCAAGCTCAGGAATCACTAAGAAAGTTCGCCATCCTTGCCGTTTCTTTGATTTTAAAATGTCTCCAAAAATGTGATCTCCAATATACAAAATGTCTTTGCCCTTGGCTCCCAACAGATCACAGATGGTATCAGATGAACCTGAAACAATGGAGTGAACAATGAGAAGACAAAAATAAATTCATACTAAAGCCAGCAAAATACCAATAATTACTCTTATAATTATGTGAGGGACAGAACTTTCTTAAAGACAAAGGTTCACCATTCTTTTCATGGCTTCCAAGACAAGGTTTTCAGCTCTTCTATGCTGACCAAGAGCTCTGATAACAAAGAGCAACACGTTTCACCTTATGAATATAACAGTCAAAATACCACCACCATTTTTCCATCACAGATCTGCCATTAAGTTGGCTTTACTCAACTGTTTTTAAAAAAAAAAAAAAAAAACCAAAAAAAAAAAACACCTTTGAGAAATACTCCAAATGATTTCAGAATGCTGAGAAAAAGTCTTAGATACATAAAAGAAAGAGAGGAAAAGCTAAACCTTTCAGTGAAACTCAAACTCTTCCTCTTCAACTCATCACATTAGTAGGTAACTAAACTACATAATCAGTAGATGACATTTCTACTCCTGAAGAGTACAGGTAGTACTATGCTGAGAGAACACCAAAGTTTTCACAGTGAGGTCTGTAAAAATACTGTGTAAATACTTACAGTAAATAAAGGAAATCTATAACTCACCTCCTGAGTAGACAATACCATGCTGGAGGGGACCTGTGTAGGTACCAATTTTCAGCTTGCCAGTTTTCTGTGTAAAGAGAATATAGACTTTGTAATACTTCGTCATCTTATCACAATCTCTACCCACATGGCTAACTGACCACAAAGGCAAATAAATGGCACTTATTCTTCTCAATTAGCAGTTTTGTTTGGCTACTTCAGTTAAGACTAAAACTCTTAATTTCAAAAGAGAAATATGGCCATTAAGCTAACAAACAAACAAAAAACCCAACTTGTTTTCTTAGGGAAAGGGAAGTGGGGAAAGGAGAAACATGAAGGACAGTATCCTAGCAGACATATCACTCTCTCAACTTACAGTATCCACTTGACGTAATACTGTGCCTTCTCCAAAAAAGAGTGGCTTTCGTGCATCTACCAAGATCAGGTCAAAGTAGGACTGCCATGGTCGATGGGAGCTCCCAGGCTGGGAAGAAGAATCAGCAAAAGCTCAAACATCACTCCTTAACTTAAGGTACTAATATTTAATCTAATTCAAATGCAAGGAATTTAAAAACGCTAAGTATAACAAGAAGATCCCATTATTTTATTTAAAAATGCTTTATGTCCAGTTATAAGACAAATCTTTTTGGAAGCTGGCAGTTATAAATAATAGATGGTTAATAACCTCTACATTTTAAATCATTTCATCAACTACTTAGTTACAATAACTTATTTCATAGTACTTTAGTGTATGAAAGTTTGCTCATACTCTGAAATGTGAGAAAAGGAGCTAGTTGAAGATGCAAGTAAATACACAAGGGTATTTACTGAGAAACTGAGAAAGAGATTTGATCAACATAAAAACTAAGTGTATAAACTAATATTGAAGACATTATCAAGAAATTTTACTGGTTATGTTTTCAGTATGATGGCTTTAGATATCTATTGACCTTTAACTCATATTGCTAAGTAACCACAAGGCTAATGTAGAAGTTATGTCCATTAAAATTATTTATATCCTGAAATGGAACCATCAAAAGTACGACAGTAACCTTTCAGGCCAAATTGAAGGGTACTGTATACTGTAATTCTGGGTAATCTCAAACATGGATTTGCTGATGTTTATCCATAGAAGTCTAGAACTAAAATTCTACAAGTATGTGACTGAACTGCAATGGTTATTCCTTAAATCTAAGTGCAGCCATATAACAGGAATGAAGACTTCTCCTCTAAATACCAAGGTCAACTGCTCTTTGGGCACAAAACTCAGGATTAACTAATAGTGGAATCTAGAAATTGTCAGGAATAAACACATTCGAACTTTTGTTTTCTGTTAATCAAGTATCTTCCTAAACCTGAAATCTTTCATTGCCACACTAACTTAACAACACTACATAGAAGTTCTTGGGCATAAAATTATTCTGACCCCATTCACTAAAAAACACATAAATACCCCTTTTATTTCTGCTAAGTATTCAAACTGGTAGTGATTTTAAATTCTACTAATCCTGGATTACTGGTAATGTTAATGAGAATCAGACAACAGGATTTAAAATCAGGACTTTTCTCGTTGGGTGACCATTCCTCCCTCTCAGTTCCCAATGATTAAAGGCACTCATCACTTACTAAAGCAGTGGTCTATTAAGTTACTATTACCGTACCTTGGGGCCATGTGGAAAATCAAACAGGTAAGTCATAATTTTCTGGGAAGGAAAAAAGCATTATAAGGTCTATATACTTCTTTTGCAAAGATCTATAACAACTTTTAAAAACATATACAAGCTTTTCAATAAAACATGTCTTTTTTTTCAGTGTAAGATTCACCACATTCTTGTTTCCTCTAAAGTTTATGAAATCATGGCAGTGAAGGCTAGAAATTAATGCTTCATAATATGTAAAAAATAGCTTTTGACATTCTCAGGAAGGATATATACTCCTAGATGTTTCTATACAGACTCATCCATATATCCATCAGCAATTCTCCTAGACACACATGTGAAGGTAAGGAGTATATAAGGTGAGACACAGAGAAAACTGCTGACTCACATGGAAATAAATATTATCAAGTTTTTACATAACAGAACTCGGGGGACTGGAACTTCTTGCTTCAACTATTAAATTGTAATCATCTCAGCAAAAGTTAAGGAATTAGACCAGTTTCTCCACATACTTTAATCATGGTTTAAAAAAAAAGTTTTAAAGATGTAGTAGTAAATTTTGACGGCTAAAATTCAAAACACTTTTGTAGCACCTATTACTATAAGGCTTCCAACAGCAGGGAAGTACAACAGTAGAGGGTATGACTTCTCAAATGTATATAAATGATAGTTCAAAGAGGCACAGAAGCCACTTTAATCATCACAAATGCTTTAAATAGCCCCCAAATTAAACATTCAAATAGGTAACATGTAATCAGAGAAAACAGTAAAAGAATTATTTAGAAAAATTAGAACAGAACTGGAGGTATGGCTCAAGCAACAGAGTGCCTACTTTGCAAGCACTGAAGCTCTGAGTTCAAACCCCAGTCCCACCAAAAAAAAAAGAGTGAGAAAGAAAAAATTGTAACAGTTCTGTATATATTTTTGCTTTCTTCAATCTGTTTTCAAAGTGAAATGGCAAGAAACTATTTTCATTTAATAAACTTCTGTCCTTCTCATTATCTTCACAGTTCTTTAGGCCAAAATGATTTCTCTGTATAAACAAATATGAATATTAAGTACTTACATCTGTGTATTTATAATCACTGTTGGTGGCAAGAAATACTTTCCCTACTTCATTCATCCGGC